GCTAGGAAGCAGGATAGCCCGGGTAAGTCCCAGGGCTGACCAGGGATTTCACTGCTTGGCCTTTGGACCTGACAGGAAACTCCTCTTCATAGCCTAAGAGCTGGTAAGAGGTGTGAATCATTGGGGCTTCCCCTCTGGGGGACTCAAAGCCTAATTAGAAGGCTAAAAAAAAAAAAAGGAAGGAAGGCAAGAAAAAAGGGAAGGAAGGAAGGGAGGGAGGGAGGGAGGAAAAGAAAATGAAAAGAACCCTGGCTGTGTGGCTCAGTGGACTGAGTGCCAGCCTGTGAACCAAAGGGTCGCTGGTCCCATTCCCAGTCAGGGCACGTGCCTGGGTTTTAGGCCAGGTTCCCAGAGAGGGAGTGTAAGAGGCAACCAGACACTGATGTTTCTCCCCATCTCTTTCTCCCTCTTTTCCCTCTGTCTAAAATAAATAAATTTTTTTAAAAGAAAAAGAAAAGAAAGCAAGCCAGTTAGCTTATACATTTGTTTTAGGAAACATTTCTCAAACCAGAGACCACGTACTTTAAAGGGCTCTGTAAATTGTAACATGTCATTAAAATAGAAGATACTGTCACAATTATCATAGAAACAAGAATGTGGCCAGGTTACTCAAAACATATGGGTGAAAGTAATGTGGGTAGGACAATGGCAGGGGAGCTACAAATGTGGCTGCTGGAGGAGGCACAGAACAACAGTTGCATTTCAGTGACGCCTGGAAAAAGGCATACTCTACATTAATTCCTGTGGATAATCTGTAAGGCTGTAATTTTCCCCTTACTTCTCTTACTCTTTATAGTAAACTACAAAAATGCAGACTGATTCTGTGTGAACTTCTCAAAGGCAAGAAATTCTCATATTTATTCAGCTTAGTGCCTGGCAAGTAGGTAGCACTTAGTAAATATATGTGATTCTCTGAAGGGACTGCTGGAAGGATGGAGGGAGATGGAAAAAACAATCTGTCTCCAGCTGGACACTGATGGTCTTGGTTTCTTGGAACAAAGCTGGTAAGCAATTCCTGTTAGAATTGGTCATTAAGATTGAGGGGCAGAGTAGATAATAATAGTCCCATCAATCGCTTCTGGGCCTTTTGGCTAAGATCAAGTGTCTTATCAGTTTAATAATAGTCCCATTAGTCCTGGCTGGTGTGGCTCAGTGGATTGAGCACTGGCCTTTGAACCAAAAGGTTGCCAGTTCAATTCCCAGTCAGGGCACATGCCTGGGTTGCCAGCCACATCCTCAGTAGGGGGTATCAACTACACATTGATGTTCCTTTTCCTCTCTATCTCCCTTCTCCTCTCTCTATAAATAAATAAATAAATAAATAAATAAATAAATAAATAAATAAATAAATAAATAAAATCTTTAATAATAGTCCCATCAGAAATGAATAAATCAATTTGGGAAATGAAGGTAGCAGAAACCAAGAGCACTACTGGGGAAAAACACACAGGACTGGAAGATAAGAGTCTGTTGCTAAAAGAAAGGAAACTATTTTCATAAAGATAATCTACTTAGAAACAAGTATACTGGGGAATAAAACACAGGGAGTATGGGAAATGGGCTGGGGACTCTCCAACCATTTGTGTTCCAGGAAAAGGAAGCACTGTCAAAAAGATGGCAAATGTGTGAGGAAGAAAATCATAAGAATGTGGTCAGAGAAGATTTGGAAGATTAAAGGCTGAAAAACCCAGATATACTGGTATCCACTCAAATGAAATTGGTTGAGCCATTCTTTCCCCTTTTATTTCCCTTTGTAGAGATCAGTTTTTGTTTTGCTTTGAGAAGATTAAGACACCTGGTTACATTCTTCACACCTATTCTAGAATGATTTGCTTTGCAAACTCATGTTGTGATTAGGTGATAGTTAGACAGTATTCGTAGACAGTGATATCCAAGGTCAATATTTGGGGAACATCTGGAGCATGCAATAACCTTTCCAGGGTTACGAATGAGTGTGATACCAAGAGCCCACAAGGAATAGACCAGTTTAGGAATAAAACCTTAATGACAAATCTCTGAATTGGAGCAAAGATCACATTTGCAGGCTTGCTTTTTCTGATTTTCTTTAAAAATATATAGCCCTGCTTACTTTGGTGTGTTAAGCTGATGAGACAGGTTTGAACTGAAAGCGGATTGTAAACAACTCTGTAGTGGGGAGGTGCTAAACAAATATACACCGGTCAGTTTGCTCCACTGAGCTGTGTGGGAGGTGCCACACCCAGGCTGCAGGCGGCCATCAGGTTGAAAAGAAAAGCTAACAATGGGCAAACCAGGTTGTTCTGTTTTTTCACAAGCCCAATGTCTTTTCTCACTACATAACCCCAGGAGCCCCAGAAAGCCACTTCTGTTAGAGGAGGATGTTACTATGTTTGGCTGGGTGGAAAAGGAACAAGAAAGATCTCTCAGAATGGCACTGTGGTGAACTCCACTGCTTGGCTTCCTCAACACTCCGTTTTTTTGTTTGGTTTTGGACAAGAAACCTAGAGTCTATCCTTGATCCCACATTTACATGCTTAGGGTTCAGGTGGAATGAAAGCCCTACCACAGCTGAGGGGGCGAGATCAGGGTGTATCACTATGTCAGGTGCAGACCCTTTGCACTCCCCAGACAATGTTAAACCTTCCTTGGTTCTGTACCATACTCCTCCTCATGCTGAGGCACTGTGGGGCAAAAATACCCTGAGTGGTATCTGTGGATCAATGTCTGCTGGTGCATGTATTCAGATGGCCATACGACAGTGTGGATCATGCTTCATAGAAGTCATACTGTCTTTCCTTCCTCACCTTCAAGACATCTGTAGCAGGGAGGGTTGTCTCAGGAGCCTCCATCCTCTGAAGGGTTCCCTCTAGTTCCCCAGAGCAAGTCAGGTCAAAGACCACACCCAGAGGCCTCTCCTAGACCCTCTTAAGTCCAGAGCCACCCAGAGGCATCTTTACAGTGAGGGTGCTGGTAAAGGATGCCACACCCTGAAATCTGGAGATTTGGTGGAAATCAGTTCCTGCAGCAGTCTCATCCTCAATTAAAATGTTCTAATCCACTTATTTAATCCTCACATTTACTGAGCATACACTATTGTAAAGCCCTCTGCTTGGTATATTAATGCAACATATGTAAAAACATACATTCTTGCTTTTGCCTCTTCTTGGTACTTTTTCCCAAATATTCTTCGAAAAGCAGATTTCATGATTCCAAGCTTTGTAACCTTGGGCAAACTGCTAAACCTGAGTTTAAAGTGCCTAATGTTTAAAGGGAGATAATTTCATAAGGCTGTTGTAAGGATTATATAAGATGTTAAACATCTCTGGTATAGAACCTGGCTCACTGGTGCTCAAGAATCCTACATATTCCTTTCTTTCCTCCTTTAAAGGACTTTCTTTACAGGACCCGCCAGAGTCGGTTGCTCCACCTGAGCTTACCTCTTTCTTCATCATGGTCAAACCCAGGATTCAAATCTTTCTTTGCTTCAGAGGCCTCACTGGTCCTTCCCTTCCTTGCACCCTATGCTTTTTTAGAAGGTCCTGCCTCCACTATAATCCAGCTTGCTGCCAACTGGGTTACTATCGAGAATAAAAATCCTAATGAGGGGTAATAGACAAAGGCAGCAGCCCCACTAGGTCCCCCACTTCTGGACCGCATTGAAGGGATAGTTAAAGGCCAAAGTCCTCTGGGCATGTAGTAAGTTATTCCTGACCTGGATCCCATGACAGGATCCCCTCCTCCAAAGCAGAGGTTCCTTCCAGACAGTTCTAGGGCACCTTCTAAGGTCCTCCTTTACACAGGGCCCTCTGTAGGGTCCACCCCCACCGCGCAGGCTCCCGAGGCTCCCCTATGGCCCCTCACGTTCCCAAACGGTCTTCCACTGAGGCAACTCCAGAGACTACCCTTGCCCTCGCCTACTTACACAGATGCTCTCTTTGCGACTGTGCCCTCCACACCGGGCCTCCCCCTGGCAGGAAGGCTGAAAGAGCCCTGGGAGTCCCCATTCACCCAGGGGGTCTTTCTGGGAAAGGTTCCCACACAGGGCCTTGGGATTCCCCCACAGGGTGGAGGCAGCAGGCAGGGTGTATTTCCTTACACAGGGACCCCTGGGGGCGGCTCCCACACAACACCTCAGAGGGTATTCCTCAGAGGGTACGCCCGAGGGTATTCCGCGGCCCGAAGACCCGCCCCGTACGGTGCCTGCCGGGTCCCCGCCGCCCTCGACCCCGCTTACCGAGACTGTCAGGGTGCGAGACGCGGGTCCAGGGCCGGCGGACTACGCCGCTGGCCCCTCGCCGCCCATGGCAGCTTGGAAGGCGGCGTGCTGGGGCCGAGAGCCGGGAGCAGGCGGCGCGGGCGGAGGAGCAGGCTGCGGCGGCGGCAGCCGCGGCGGAGCGCGCCTGGAGCACACCCACCTTCTCCGCCCTCCGCCCCGCGCGACTGCGGCGCGTGCGCCCGCGAGACCCCCCGCCGGGGCAGTGGGTGCGCCCCGCCCCGCCCCCTGCGCCCGAGGAGCGGCCCTCGCCGCTCGGCCGGCGAGCTCGCACCAGAATGAGGCGCTGAGGGACCGCGGGAGGAGTGCGGGAGAGCGACCGCGTCCCGCTCCGAGCGGCCGTCTGTCCGGATGCCAGCGCGCGCCCCCCCACCAGCCCCAGGCTCTGCGGCGCGGGAACTGCGGCAAGGTCAGTGTCCTCGGGGAGGCGGCGCCCCGGGAGGGGGCACGGCTAGGAGCAAGGCGGCTCACAGCCCCGGCCTGCACCTGGTTAGGAAAGTGAGAATGACTCATCCAGCGGCCTCGCCCTGGGATCTACCTCCCCTATCAGACCAGCCACTCACTCCGAAATCCGGACCCAGGACTCGCCTTGAGGCACTCACCTTCGCGGTACCCGACTACAGAGTGTCCAAATTAACTGTCACAAAATGTTTGGCTGGCCCAACTTTTCCTGATGTGTTTTCTTCACTTCTTGGCCTTTTGTTCCCAATAGCAAAACAGGACCGTATGTATAATGTAACCTACTTACTCTTGCCGCAGACCGTCTGAGCAACCAGCTTGTCAGGAGGCCAGCAGTTCTGAAGTGTATATAACATGCACTACACCAAATTACATGCTCTGAAGAAGCAAGAAAAAGATCAAGTCATAAAGTACCTAGCAACTAATTATAAAGAAAAAATGAAGATATGTAAATGATGTGCCAATAACCCATTTTATTTAAACTAACTGCATTTACATTTTTAATATATTTTATTTATTATGCTATTACAGTTGTCTCAATTTTTTCCCCTTTGCACCCTTCCACCTAGTACCCCCATTCCCTCCAGGAATCCCCCCCTCATTAATTCATGTCCATGGGTCATGCATATAAGTTCTTCGGCTTCTCTATTTCCTATACTATTCTTAACACCCACTTCTCTATTTTGTACCTACTAATTATGCTTCTTAATTCCTGCACCTTTTCTCCCATTCTCCCCTCTCCCCCTCCCAGCTGATAACCCTCTAAATGATCTCCGTATCTATGGTTCTTTTCCTGTTCTTATTTGCTTAGTTTTTTAGATTCAGTTGTTGATAGTTGTGAATTTGTTACCATTTTAGTGTTCATAGTTTTGTTGTGTTGTCTTCTTTTTCTTAAATGAAAGTCCCTTTAACATTTTATGTAATAATGCCTTGGTGACGATGAGCTTCGTTAGCTTTACCTTGTCTGAGAAGGACTTTATCTGCCCTTCCATTCTAAATGATAGTTTTGCTGGATGGGGTAACCTAGGTTGTGGGTCCTTGCTTTTTCATCACTTTGAATACTTCTTGCCTGCAAAGTTTCTTTTGAGAAATCAGCTGACAGTCTTATGGGAGCTCATTTATAGGTGACTCTCTGCTTTTCTCTTGCTGCTTGTAAGATTCTCTCTTTATCTTTAACCTTTGGCATTTTAATTATGATGTGTCTTGGTGTGGTCCTCTTTGGGTCCAACTTGTTTGGGACTCTGCTTCCTGAATTTGTATTTCTATTTCCTTCGCCAAATTAGGAAAGTTTTCTGCCGCAGTCCGGCCGCAGCGGGTCAAGGGGTCCCACAGGTGAGGGTAAGGCGTCAGCACTGGGTAACAGACGACATCACGCCTCAAAGGACAGTGAAGCTCTGTTCCGTTTATTGCAAGTACAAGCAGGTTTTTATATTTTCATTTCAGGTAGTGATTAATATTTGCAGTATAACATGATCATTTAAGCAGAAAAAATCAATACAAAGGTAATCAGTAAAAGTACGAAAGTTCCCATAGATTTAGTTAAAGATTATTTTAACTAGGAGAGCCATTAATCAGACAATTAGAAATATCTTATTGTATATTAAAGTTTCTCAGAATTTGGTATAGGGCAAAAGGATACGCTAGATTGAGTAGAGAAAATAGGAGATTTATTATAAGGCCCTTGTGATGTCTAACTTAGCTATCTACTTTTTTTTTTTGCCCAAAATGTTTTTCTGTGTACTATAAATTCTGACTCCCTAGTGACTGTTTAGTTTGTAATAACTAACTAGCTTTTGTTATTTCTTTGCCTGTCTAGTTGATATATATTCTTATTCAAGGTAAAGGAGGGGCTACTCCTATGTTGCAGGGGGCTTTCAAGGGTACTTCTTTTAAGTTTCTCTAGGAGTTCTTTTATAGACATGTTTTGTACTTTGATTCTCTCTAAGAAAGCAGTGAGATCATCTCTTGATTTCCTAGAGCATTCTATCTTATCTTGGGTGTTTTTCTAATGATCTGTTATTGATTAAGCTTGAATTCTCAGATTGTTCTGGTTGTTTCTTTGTACCTATATTCCCTGACATTCTAGTATGATATTATTATTCTGTTCATTGAGCCGGGAAAGGTCTAGGCACACTATCTGAATCACTGCCAGGGTATTCATAATGATTAAAGCAGAAAAGGTCATGATCCCCAAAGCAAGCACAATCACAATAGGTATTGCAGGGCCTTCCATGCCACGTCCACCAGGTTGGAAACTGCTTCCTTGAAGTCTTACACCCCCTCTCAGGACCTTGTTACGGAGAGAGGGATCCAACAGTGGACGTGGCAGTGGACGTGGCAGTTTTCTTTCATTATTTTTTCTCCCTTCACCAAATTAGGAAAGTTTTCTTTCATTATTTTTTGCCAATAAGTTTTTCAATTTCTTGCTATTTGTCTTCTCCTTCTGGTATCCCTATGATTCAGATGTTGCTATGTTTGGAGATGTTGCAGAGAAACCTTATACTATCCTCATTTTTTTAGTTTTTTTTTTTTCTTTGTGCTGTTCTGGTTGAATGCTTATTGCTCCCTTATGTTCCAAATCATTGATCTGAATTCTGGCTTCATCCCCTCCACTATTGTTTTCCTGTAGATTTTTCTTTATTTTACTTAGTGTAAACTTCATTTCTTCCTGGGTCTTTTTGTGTTGTTGCCATACTCAGTGAGTTGTTTGAGCATCTTGATCACCAGTTTTTTGAACTCTGCATGTGATAGTTTGCTTATCTCTGTTTTGTTTAGTTCTTCTTCTGGAGTTTTGTTCTATTCTTTCATTTGGGCCATATTTCTTTATTTCCTCTATTTGGCAACCTGCCTGTGTTTCTGTGTATTAGGTAAACTGCTTCAACTCCTTGTCTTGGTAGTGTGGCTTATTGTAGAAAAGGCATCTATAGATTGTGTGGGGTGGAGGCTTAGGTAATTGCCAGGGTGGGGCAATATGCTTCACCACTTTGTGGCTCTGTGTGGGGAAAGGGTGCAGAAAGGCCTGGCTTCTGAAGGTTTACCAGGCACTCTCCCTATGTGACTAGAGCCCTTCCAGCTGTTGCCCTAGTGCTGAATCCCAATGGGGCTGAGTCTGCATATATTCTAAGTTTGTATGGGCCCTTTAATCAGAGTCTCCCAAAAATCCAGCAGTTTCTTCCACCACCCCAACTGCCACTGGTTGTAACAGCCAGAAGTTATGGGGATTTATCTTCCCAGCACTGGAACCATGGGCTGTGCAGCCTGGCCTGGAGCTGGGATCACATACTTCCAAGGTATCCCTACTGACTTTTATCCACCACACATGAATGTGGGGCCACCTTTCTGCACCACACCCTGTCTCCATGTCTCTCCACCTGTCTTCTCATTTCTATCCCTCCTACCCATTGGGATGAATGTGGCTTCTTTAAATCCTTTGTTGTCTGATTTCTATACAGCTTGATTTTCTGATGGTTCTGGGTGTTATTTGTTTGAGGTCTAGTTATAATTCTTTCTGTGGATGCATGAGGAGGCCAAGTGTGTTTACCTACACCTCCATCTTGACCAGAAGTCTAATTGAATTTACATTTTAAACATACCTTCATTTTCTTGTGCATTCAGTTTCTATATCTCAAGTACAAATCACAACATCATTTTAAAAAAATATTTTATTAATTTATCTTTAGAGAGGAAGGGAAGGAGAGAAGGAGAGAAATATCAATGTATGGTTGCCTCTCATGAGTCCCCTGCTGAGAACTGGCCTGCAACCCAAGCATGTGCCCTGACTGGGAATCAAACCATGATCATGTGGTTCACAGGCCACAATCCACTGAGCTATACCAGCCAGGGCACAATGTCATTTTTTGAACAGCAAGTATTTGTTACACACTGTTCTAGGTGCTGTAGAGGTTAAAAAAACCCAACAGACCTGGTTTTGTCCTTAACAACATGGAACTTACCAATGAGGGATATAAGGTAAATACAGTACTACATATTCTATCACTTTTAAACCAAGTGCCAGGTACTAGTCTAAACACTTTAAATAAGTTAGTCATTATTTTTCACACCATACCACAGAAGGTATGTATTGTTAGTTTCTACATTTTGCTGGTGATTAAAATGAGGTACAGGGAGGTTAAACAACTTGCCTGAGGTCACATAGCTAATACGTAGTGGAGATGAGATTGAAATCCAGATTTTCTGACTTCAGACTACAAGTTCCTAACCATTTTACTGTACTGCCACTAAGAAAGGTGAGACTGCTAACCATGAATAAATATACAGTTCTAAAATTAGTATGTACTTCTCAGGAACCACTACACTTTTTTTGCTTGTGAAAGTTAACACAAAAGAGCAGAAAGCTTTCCATATAGCTTGTAGGACCCTAACATTCTTTAAAATTATATCATATCAACAGTTTTCACAGGATTCTTTGAACCGTTTTCAGTGAGTGTTTTATTTCTCTGCTGTTTATCAGGCTTATGTGGAAGACAAGGGTATAACGTCACCATAGACTCTATTGATTAATTTCTTCCTTCATTCAAAAAATGTGTATTGTGCACCTATAGTATGCCAGGCATAGTAAGACACAGTACTTTATTTACCTCAAGGAGCTATAATCTTAAGAGTAAACAAGCATTGACAAAGAACAATAATACAGAACAGGAAATGAGTTGTTCTCAGTAGGGGAATAAAATGCAATGGAAATTCTAAGGAGGAGCGGGAGAGATTACTTCATAGAGGGAGGTGCGTGTGTTAAGGAAAGTACATAATTATTAAATTTATTGTTGATTTTAAAGTATTACAAACAGTATAAATTTTATTAAAAATTTTTTAAAAGATCACATGCAAAGTTCTCATGTTCAGAAAATACATCTTTTTACTATGTTATAATGATTGTTCACAGTCTGGAGAGGTTAACATGCACAAACTTTTTAAAGATAGTTTATCTTATCTCAAGGTGGTAGGGCACAAAATAGAATGATAATACACAAGATAAGATTTCCAAGATCAAAGAAATATCAAAGAAAAGCAAGGTGGGAGTGACTAAGGTAGGTTTGGGGGCAGCCAGGACTCTTGACTGGACAGGGTCAAAAGTTGCTGTAGAGTAACCAGTACCATACAAAACTGCCTTTGCAAGATAGACTGTGTTCATGCTATTTCTTTTTTGGCATACCCTTCAGTTATGGCAAACATATGAACTGGGAGAGTCCATGTTCAAATATGTACCCATAAATTCTTGTCGATAAGATTGACAAATATGGCCACCATATCCATGTTGGTGTCTAGAAAGTAGTTGTATGTTCAACAAATGTTTAATAAATGAGTTGAGAAAGGCAGAGGGGAACTATTTGGAAAAGAACTCACATTGTAGATGTTTTGAT